TGTACCCTTGAAAATCTATGAATCTATGAACACACACACACACACACACACACACACACACACACTGCTCAAAAAAATAAAGGGAACACAAAAATAAGACATCCTAGATCTGAATGAATGAAATATTCTTATTAAATACTTTGTTCATTACATAATTGAATGTGCTGACAACAAAATCACACAAAAATTATCAATAGAAATCAAATTTAGCAACCCATAGAGGGCTGGATTTGGAGTTAAACTCAAAATTAAAGTGGAAAAAAACACTACAGGCTGATCCAACTTTGATGTAATGTCCTTAAAACAAGTCAAAATGAGGAGGGTGTTGCAGGCAGCAGAATGTTCTCCATGGCATCTCCAGACCCTGTCACGTCTGTCACATGTCCTTAGTGTGAACCTGCTTTTATCTGTGAAGAGCACAGGGCGCCAGTGGCGAATTTGCCAATCTTGGTGTTCTCTGGCAAATGCCAAATGTCCTGCATGGTGTTGGGCTGTAAGCACAACCCCCACCTGTGGACATCGGGCCCTCATACCACCCTCATGGAGTCTGTTTCTGACCGTTTGAGCAGCCACATGCACATTTGTGGCCTGCTGGAGGTCATTTTGCAGGGCTCTGGCAGTTCTCCTCCTGTCCCTCCTTGCACAAAGGTGGAGGTAGCGGTCCTGATGCTGGGTTGTTGCCCTCCTACGGCCTCCTCCACATCTCCTGATGTACTGGCCTGTCTCCTGGTAGCGCCTCCATGCTCTGGAAACTATGCTGACAGACACAGCAAACCATCTTGCCACAGCTCACATTGATGTGCCATCCTGGATGAGTTGCACTACCAGAGCCACTTGTGTGGGTTGTAGACTCCGTCTCATGCTACCACTAGAGTGAAAGCACCGCCAGCATTCAAAAGTGACCCAACCATCAGCCAGAAAGCATAGGAACTGAGAAGTGGTCTGTGGTCACCACCTGCAGAACCACTCCTTTATTGGGGATGTCTTGCTAACTGCCTATGCTTTCCACCTGTTGTCTATTCCATTTGCACAACAGCATGTGAAATTGATTGTCAATCAGTGTTGCTACCTAAGTGGACAGTTTGATTTCACAGAAGTGTGATTGACTTGGAGTTACATTGTGTTGTTTAAGTGTTCCCTTTATTTTTTTGAGCAGTGTATATATCCCTCAGAAAGGGGATGAGGATTTCTTAATATTCACATAGACATATAGCACTTAAACTGAACACTGTGGAAAGAGTTTTTAGTGGCAAGACTACTAAGACAAGCAATGCCAAAGAAGGACAAAGAGGAAAGAAAGGAAGATTAAAATGTGCATACATAACAGAGATTGGTAAGAAACTGCATCTTCATTAAATTATTGTAGGAAACTACTGTCATCTAAGCATATCATTTGTAATACCAGATATGCTATATTTAGCACTTCAGTCCTCTCCTGCAAAAATACTATGCTTAATTCAATGTGACATTGGATAAATGAATACAACAAAAGCTGGTCTTGCTGACTCCCTGCCAAGTCCTTCATAGCAAGCATGAAAACCACATTAGCAATTGACCTCTTCAGTATTCTGAAGCTACACAAATAGCAGGGAAAGAAAGCAAAGCAAATGTAGATACAATTACATTGCTACAGATGACTTGGGAAAATGACTCAGATATCTGCATCCTAAAATTGAGACATTATATTTAAATGGCATTAGCAGAGAGAGCACAGACTTATTGTACTAGTTGTTATACAGAAACGTATTATTACAGTTTATAGAAACAGATTAGGAATAATGTACAGAACTAAGCTGTGGCAACAGCTTTAAAACATTAAAGTTATAGCGACAGCTTAGTGGTTGGAGAGAAAATGATGGAATATGCTGAAATAGAGTCTTGACAAGAAGCATTCAATGGTGCAACATTTTGTTGTTGGTAAAAATAGGTAAAACAATGTTTAAAGTAATTCGACGTAGTGTAATTATCAGGCTGCGGCTATGTTTTACTGTACAAAGCTACAGCCTGATAATTTACAAGCAGCTGTAAAGAGATAATGATAAAAAATACAAAGAATGCCCAGATAATGGAACAGTAACCTGAAAGTAATTTCTGCACATGCCCACTTTTCCCATTTTTCAATGGTGACACTATTTTGTATACTTTTTTCTTCCATTCAACAGTGTCCGAGTCTCGGAGACTACCTGGACAAGTGCCTGCAGTTTTCTTGGCAAGGTTTTTCAGAAGTGGTGTGTCACTAACTCTTCCCTAGAGATGAGAGAAAACAACTAGATTAAGATTACCTAGCTGGCTAGCTAAAGGCAGAACTAGAATTCACCATCTCCTGGTTTCTGATGCCTTAACTACTACACTGCACTGGTTCTGTCAAGCACCTGGAATACTGTATGCAGTTTTGGTCACCACATTACAAAAAAGATGTTGAGACTTTGGAAAAAGTGCAAAGAAGAGCAACTAAGATGATTAAGGAGACAAAAACACATGAAGAACAGTTGCAGGATTTGGGTTAAGCTAACTTAGTGAAAAGAAGGACTGGGGAGACATGATAGCAGTATTCCAGTATTTCAGAGGCTGCCACAATGAGGAAGAGGTCAACTTATTTTTTCAAAGCACTAGAGGGCAGAACAAGAAACAATGGATGGAAACTAATCAAGGAGAGAAGCAACCTAGAATTAAGGAGAAACTTCCTAACAGTGAGAGTAATTAACCAGCGGAACAGCTTGCCATCAGAAGTGGTGGGTGTTTTATCACTGGAGGTTTTTAAGAACAGACTGGAAGAATCACATCTGATACCTGTATAATTAGCACAGGATCCCCCCAAGGCTGTGTGCTTGCTCCACTTCTCCTTATATAACAATGACTGCATCTCAAACGATCCATCTGTTAAAATACTGGAGTTTTCAGATGATACAACAGCGATTGGTCTCATTCGAGACGTCGAATCTGCATACAGGCAGGAGGTTGTATAGTTTGCCTCGTGGTGTAACCGGGACAATCTGGAACTGATAGTATGGGAGGGTTTCTCCTAAAGTCTACCACTATTTCTACAGTTTTGAGTGTGTTCAACGCAAAACCGTAGAAATGTTGGTAGACTTTAGGAGAAACTCTCCCATACTACCACCTTTACAATGCTAGACAACACAGTATCAACAGTAGAGACCTTCAAATTTTTAGGTTCTATCATATCACAAGACCTAAAATGGACACCTAACATCAAAAATGTCACCAAAAAGGGACAACAAAAATGTTCTTTCTGCGCCAACTCAGAAAGCTTAAACTGCCCAAGGAGCTGCTGATACAGTTCTACAGAGGAATTATTGAGTCTGTCATCTGCACCTCTATAACTGTCTGGTTTGATTCTGCAACCCAACAAGACAGACACAGAGAATAATTAGGACTGCAAAAAAAAACCAATTACTACCAACCTCCCTTCCATTGAGGATCTGTACACTGCACGAGTCAAAAAGAGGGCTGTGAAAGTATTTACAGACCCCTCACATCCCGGACATAAACTGTTTCAACTCCTTTCCTCAAAACGATGCTATAGAGCACTGCACACCAGAACAACTAGACACAAGGACAGTTTGTCCCCGAATGCCATCACTCTGCTAAACAAATAATTCCCTCAACACTGTCCAACTATTTACAAATCTGCACTACTATTACTATTAATCTTCTCATTTCCTTATCACACATCCCCTCCCACTTGTGACTGTATGACTGTAACTTTGTCGCTTGTATCCTTACAATTTATATTGACAGTTTCCTGGTCTGATTTGACTGCTTATTGAACCCTATGCCTATTATTAAGTATTGTACTTTATGATTTTTGATTCTTGACGAATGTATCTTTTCTTTTATGTACACTGAGAGCATTTGCAGCAAGACAAATTCCTTGTGTGTCCAATCACACTTGGCCAATAAAAAATTCTATTCTATTCTAAGTCACTTGTGTCTGAAATGGCATAGGGTTTCCTGCTTGAGCTGAGGTTGGACTAGAAGACCTCCAAGGTCCCTTCCACCTCTATTCTGATTGATATGGTGTATTTAATGCTACATTAAGGCTCAAGTATCCCTAGGCCACATTGACTAACGGCACCAACCCATGATGATGTGAAGATTAACCTTTTTAGAATGTTTCAGAAAGAGGAATGGCATTGGCTTTTGTACCCTAAACTACTGCCTGCTCAGCCTTAGCCTGTCTGAGTACATACTATTCAGGTGTGAGAGAATAATCAGGCAAAATAGAAAACATGTAACCATACAACAAAGAGCTTAGCCGAATAAGTATAAAACAGCAACTTGAAATCTGTCACAAGATAGCAGGGAAAAAGTGACTGCATACCAGATGACCTCCCAGTCCTTGCTGCATACTCCAGTTCTAGGGTAGAAAGGTTAACAAAACTTATCTATTTGCACCTACTAAAGCAAATACTGCATGAAGTCCTTTTGGTGAGGACTTCATCCAGAACACATTATATAGTAAGAACACCAGCCTACACTTTGTTCTCATAAGGTCTCCATTAAAAACATCAGTGAAACCAGATACCCACATCATCTACATGCATATTGTGCAGGAGTAGGGGAAAAAATCATATAACATTGTTTGGTAGAACAATAACCCTGGTGAACAAAATGATTATTCAAATTGAGCAGGGCACATTACATTGAATAGGGGTTGGATTTTCAGCCCTGCCTCCTTCCCCCCCACCCAAGTTTTGCAAGTTTTTGATTGTTTATATAAATTTTAGTAATCCTCTAATATACTATAGCTTTCATGAGTTTCCTGCTTCAAAACAGTGGCAATCCATGCTAATGGATTTTGGTGAGGTGGAAATTCTGTGGGCTGCAAAGACAATTTCAGTGTATATGCAGCTCTCGGTCTTTGAGATTTGCTCACCTTGTATTGAAGACATTGTCTCTACCAGGGTAGCAGCTAATTCAGAGCACATTGCAAATCCTTAGATAGGATTGGCAGGCTAGAGATACAGGAAGACACTCACCACTTTCCAACGGTCCTTTACCACATAGTTAGCTGGCAAAATGTCAACCTGTTCCCCTCCTCCACTCATGTTTGGTTCGTCTTTGATGGCAGCTGCTAGGCACTGCATCTGCCAGCCAGAAAATAGTTTAGTAGCAGCTCCCAATTTAAATGAGCCATTTATCTAGAAAGAAGAGAAAATGCACACAAAAGGGGATGGGGAAACACAAAAGAGTTAATGCAGATTATAACGGGACAAATGGGTAGCAATCGGCAGGAGCATTAAAGAAGGTGGCAAACTCACCTCAGGATCAAGCACAGCTTGCAATAAGCCTGGCTGGCTTAAACAACTGCCCTCTTTAAAAATTCTTCATCTGTCCTCATGCACAAAGGAGCAGAAGCAACCATGCTGTGAGACGTGGCACAAAATTAAAAATAGTGGACAAGGTACTGGCTTTTACCATGCAGGATTTTGAAAACTGAAAGCCAGCAACTCAGTAACTTAGTGGAAACAAGAAGGCCAGCAACAATGCAAGAGCCATAACTATCTTAATAATATGTATAATATTGCAGAATTAACCAGAGATTGATACTTTAAATAACACTTAGCTCAAGATTTGACAGATACTACACAGCTGGATTCACACAGAGTACTACAGATTGTCAAGTTTAAAAAACATTATTTTCGTGAGGCAACCATGAAACACATTGACAATGTGTTTTTGTATTAATAAATAATATACTATAAACAATAATTAAAAAACAAGGTAGTGTGAAAAGTAATGCAATATAATGATTAAGATACTTGATGGGATCCAGACTCTGTTCCCACTCATTATAGACCTTGCTGGATAAATTTGGAAAAGCCTCTCTTGCATATCACTTTCTAAGATAGATAGGATAGATAGATAGGATAGATAGATAGATAGATAGATAGATAGATAGACAGACAGACAGACAGACAGACAGACAGACATGGATAGATATAGATGGATGGATAAATATAGATGGATGGATAAATATAAACAGAGAGTTAAATATATAAGGGGGGGCAGGGAGGGAGGGAGATTTGGGATATCAGAACGTTATATGCAAGACAGGCTTTCCCAAATTTATCCAGCAAGCTCTATAATTGAGTGGGAACATGAGCCTGGATTCCATCAAGTATCTTAATCGTTATATTGCATTACTTTTTATGCTACCTTGTTTTTAATTATTGTTTATAGTATATTATTTATTAATATAACCTCATATATTTTGATTATCAAAAACTCACTGTCAATTAATAAAGAAGAAAATAGTCTTGCAATGTTACATTTTCCACTCCCAAAATTCACATGTGTTAACAGGCAATATTTCTAAAGAGCACTATGACTGCAGCAGATTAAACGGATAATAAATGTAAAGAGCATCAGGATTGCAACATTTTCACTCCAAATCATTCCTTATATCAAGGTGATATTGTACTGTCTCATCTGTTTCTTCCTCTATTACAGATATGTAACTGCATTCAAGACTTTTGGTGTTTAAAAAAAAACAAATGAAGTTAAACTGCATATGGAAAAGAAAAATTATAGTTACTCTCTTGATTATTACAATTCTCAAGCTAATCATAATGTATGGAAGAGTGTATCACAAAATGCTTTGTCAGCAATGGACAGCCAGAATATAACTGGATGAATTTGCAGGAATTGTGGGTTTTGAAATTTAAAAAAATTCTTTGTTTTTCTATTGGAAAACTAAATATCCTCTATCATATCGTATCAAAAAATCAGAGCAACTAGACATATTACATTTTGAAAACAAATTAACTGAAGAAAGTTAAAACTCTTTACTGTAAATGTACTTTCTGAATTGTTAAAAAAAACTCATGAGCAATTAAGAATGGTAATTATTTTCCATTCCAAATGTAGGCCTAATCTGCATTTAACTTACTTTTCAAAATGTAATTGTATTGTATCTTCTGCACAGAATTGGAAGAAGGGATGAAAAAGATGCTAGTTGTTAATAATGGAGACGGGAACCAGTTCTCCAACTGTTCATCTTCTCATTAAGCTCCCCAAAATTGCATACTAATTCATGTAGCAACCATAGGTTGTTTTGTTTTAATTTGTTTTGTTGTGTTTTACATGATTTTGTAGATCAATGAGTTCCAAAATAGTTATTATTTATGCCGAATTGTATTAAGTATGTTATCCTAGTTTGCTCATCAAATGTTTAAAATGCAATGATTGCCTAAAATCCAGATTTCTGAAATCTCTAGATTATTGCAATATGTTCCCATAGGACGTCCCTTAATGAACTTTTGGACATTTTAACTTGTGCAGAAATCTACAGTTAATAACAATCAGAGTTTGGAAAATGGCAATTCGGGGACCAAAATTCTCCCACTCACAGTGAAAGCATATATTGAATTTCCCATCCCCAATAAGCAAACAGCCACCTTTTTTTTTTTTTTCTGTAATAGGTTTCCTAGAAAAACATACAGTATTAACAAGCAACTTACTGGGGTGCCCAAACCCCATTAAAGTCTATACTCCAAAAGACAGCAAAGCAGCAACAAGCTATTTTTGCAGCCGACAACTGGAAATGTGAAACTAACAAGGGAGGGGAGGACTGAATCATCCTTATAGAAAGCACTGCCATCAGGAATTTGGCAGAGACTGGTTTATAGAGCATTTTACTCCAATATTGTTTTATTCTACAATAGCTGCCTACTCAATTATTCCAAATGCTAGTTACTACTTTAAACTCTAATCAACATGGTATAATTTCCTTCTGCACATAATACAGTAATCACTCTATCAAGCATCTGAAGTGCAACTCTGTAAGATCACATTTACATATGGCAACGTGTAATGGCAGAGGCATTATGATCTTATTTTTTCTAGTAGGAACATTGGTACTACCGAATCTTCTCCAAGGAAGCCCTTGTTCCAAGGCTAAACCAAACTAAATTTTTAAGAAAAGAACAAATTAAAAAGAAGTAAAAATGTTCTGGTTATATACCACCCAACTCTTAATGATGATGCTTTGATAGTTGCCCAATCAATTATTAACTAAGCTTGAATAGTTCAGCTTCTCAGCCCAAGTAAGGTCAGCCAGATGCTGCTCATGCGAAGCTTAAAACAAAAAAAGACCCTTTGGAAGTAGCCAATTTATCTTCTTACTCCTTTTCTGCTTTTCTAATAGCACTATTCTCATATTTTTAATTATCATGACTCCTTTTCTATAATATGGTTTTCATAATATTGTTACATCATTTTACTGTGTTATTGCTGAACTGAGTTTTATATTTGTACTGTATATTTGCATTTGTAATATTTGCTATTCCTTGAAATGATTTTGGTACCTGTTTTGTATTACTTGAAAAGCAGAATAAGAAATATTTTTATTCCCAACATAAAACATATTTGTAAAGCCAAAGTAGTTGCATTCAATTCTATTTCCCATTGACAAAAAGGATTAGTAAGTCAACACTAAGAAATATTTTTTAAAAATTTTTTTAAAAATCCCTTTACTAGCTCTGTTGCTTTATGCATTAACTAAATGTCCACATAAAAATCATTCATGAAACTAAACTGCAATATGCACTGCACCTTATAAGATTCATAAGAAAAATTACACGATGGCCTGGTTAATATCTAAACAATAATGTGATTTGATTGTTTTGGGTTCAGCTTGATGTGTAAACTGATTCTTCATATTCTATATACAAATTAGACCAGCATACCTTGTTCAACAAAATAGCTAAAAATCCTGACTTAGCATGCATTTATTAGGCCAAAGTGTTTCCTAAACTCTCTCTCTTTCACCCACACACACCCACACACACATACATATCAGGTCTGGCTTGGGCCAACCAAATCTTAGAAGCAATGTGGTGATTAGCATCTTCAGGTTTAAGCATATTTAAAAAGATAAGTCATTGTACTATTTTTGTCCATTGAACTAAAGCATGAAGCAGTATGCTCTTTTTCTTAGCTAGTAATATCTAGCAAGTTATCACATTATCCCTTTAGGCTGTAGGAATGTCAATTTAATCCTTGAGTCTAACACACTCTTTGAAACCTCCGGCAAAGTTTTCAGCCTTACCAACCTCCAACAGTTCAGAACCAGGAATTCCAATACACCTGAACAGGATTAAAATGTTGAATTGCCAGTGGACTTCTAATATATGATGTGACATATTTACCTCTTTTTTTAATTTTATATATTCTTGGTGCATTCTTATAATAATCACAGCTAACCATATCAAAGATTGGATGTGGATACCAGCTCACCCAGCTCAGCTCACCCAGCTCACGCAGCTCAGCATTTCAAGCACCCAGCAACCACCTGCCATTTCAAAAGCTAAACTTGCAGATTGAAAAAGATTTCTTGCATTCAGGAAGAAAAGTAGGCAAACATTGAGAAGAGAATTTGGACAATGAGTCTTTTAAAACCTTTAGCTCAGACACACTAATTCCAGATTTCCATAACTTAACATATATAGATTTAATCCAAAAATACTTTCAGCGAACAGAGGTAACAAAAGCTAGACATTAGAAAACTGGTATTCATTATTTTTTAGGTAACCAATCATGGATATGGTCTCTGTGATCCGCTAGCTAGAAAATGCAGTCCCATTTGACTTTGACTTTTCTATATTAGAACACAGTCTGGGAAATTTCAGTATAATTTGGGTTTTCTGTTTTTATTGCAACTTCTTGTGTTGATTTGCTTGTCTATATTCATGGGATGTCAGAAGAATTTCTCTACCCAGCATCAGCTCATGTATTACAGAAAGCCAAAACATTGAAATATTAGAATTGTTTGCTTTTCTGGTGTCCCAGTGAGAAAGCTAACACCATTGTTGATTATCAGTAGCAGCTGCTTATTTAGGAACTAAATTGGAACAGCATATACAATAGAAATAATTAGGTTAAAATAGGCAGTTGAATAGAACAGGCAGGAAAAAAAAGTTGAGATTAAAAAAAAATCTCTAGAGAGTATTATTTTCAGTACAGCAATCAGTTGATGCCCCCTACATGGAGGACAGCCAAACAAATGCAGGTTATAACCCTGTTTTATATAATTAGTAGCTCTCTGTCAAGTCACGCTGTAATTCAAATTCAAGTGCTGCATAAATCACTTAATTATAAACTCAGAACAATTAAGGCTAGAAAAATTGTTCCACGCTGTATCTTTAGGATAAAAACTTTAAATATGGAGTCTGGTGTTTTTCCCTCTGTATCTTTAGGATAAAAGCTTTAAATATGGAGTCTAGGGTGTTCAACACTAAAGACTGTCAGATGAAGTTTGCTGTAGCCAAAATATAGACAGTAACATCCAAAATCTCTTCAGAATGCTCTATGGCCTCCATTCATCAAACAAAAGCTACTGAAAACTCTCTCACCATCTTACTAAAGGTCCTGTGAATCACTTTAAAGTGTTTTGTGCTGAAGAACTGCAGTATCCCAGGTTATTTCAGGATACATCCTCACCTCAGGAAGCCTATGAATTAGAATAAGCAATATTTATTCAAGTTATTGGAGACCATGATTCTACCACTATCACGGATTGTTTACCATACCTGTTATTTGACATTTAAATGGAGTATAGTATTCATATAATTTTTAAAAATTTGATTGGACTAAGTATTACTTCGTAAAGTATGTAATGATTAATACAAACCTCATACTGGACACCTATTTGTAGAGCAGAATGAAAACTCCCAGCATGCTGAATGGATTTTGATAAAATTTATTCCCGCTCAAAATAAAAGAGACAAACAGTAGAAAGTTGCAAGAATCTAAACCATCCTCCCAAAATGCAAAGTAATGCTTTCTCTACTTGCCCAGAATATAAAAGAAAGAGAGGGTTTAAAGAAAACTAAAATATTCTGAAAGCTTCTGAAGATGAAGATTTAAAAAAAAAAACCTCAACTACAGTTCCAGCAATCATCATGACTTTTCACTTAGCGCACACACACTGCAAGACAAATTTCACATTTACACGTTAGCCTTCTTTACACATAGTAGTATATTTTTATTCAATTTTTTCTTATATGGTAAGCTGAATAGTTATGGGAACCTAGGTAGTCTTAAAGCCAAGTAAAGATTTGAAATCAAATATCCTCAGCCTAAATCCAAACTATCTCAAGAGTCAGCAATCTTTTCCGTATCAGGCACCATTATGCAATAACAGGGGCACATACAAGTATGATTTTAAAGTGGGTCAAAATTCACAGATGCTGCAGGCTCTATGTCCATTGCCATGTTGCCAAATCTTATGTAAGCTACCATATTGTATCAGTTATCAACATGAAATTCATTGAAATTACCATTTGGCATCAACATAGCACAATTATATTTTCTGTCCCTACTATTACTATGTTTTCTGATTTATTTTAAAAGTCACAAGAACAAATGTAACCAACAACAAAACAAAACAAAAACCTAAAGCTGACAACAAAATGTTTAATAGTAATAAAAGGTTTAGTACTAATAAAATATTTCAAATCTTAACATTAAGTCCTAGAAACAGAAGAGAGCAGCAAGTAAAGATCTTGATCTTGAACTATTTATTTCTCAAGTAAAAATATTAAAAAATATTTGGAAAAATAAATATCTCTCAAAATTCCAATGAAATAACATTCTGATCAAATAACAAAATTCTGATCAAATAACAGCTATAGTTCCTACCTCTGTTGTTTGGCCTCCTGTCCTCTGGGATGTCTGCTTCTCATTGAACTCAGGAAAGCCTTTCCCCTTAGAAATTTCTTACATCACAGGATTCAAACTCTGGAAAAATGCAAAATTCACAGATCAGGAAAATAGTTCTAGCTTGTATAAATCTTACATTCCATCAATAGTTCAGATAGGACCATCATCATTAACTCTGATATGTCATATCACATATTGAAATACATCTGCTTTTACATACATAAAAAGTATTGAAGATACAGTATCTCCAGTATTAAGAAACACTGTTTTTTGCTGCTTTCCTAATATCAATATTTTACCTTGAAGATGTCATGAATTTCCCATTAAACCACTAAAATATTAATTAGAGCTGATTATCAAGACATACATTTTATTTATTTAGTGCATTTATATCACACTGCAACATAGGAGTCTTGGCAGCTACTTTGATATACCCAAAGCAAAGAACTGAGGGACAGTCTAGATTTAAAGAGGAAAAAAATATTCAGAGTATTCAGGGCATTCACACAGCACCTGTCAACAACTCCTAAGGAATTTGCATCATTTTCAGAAATCACAAGGTTGCTGCAACACAGAAAAAGATCTATTCAGTTTTAAGGAGGTGCTACCTAATTGCAACATGTACACCAGGAGTGTAAAACTGGCGGCCTGAGAGCCGAATGCATCACACACAGGCCACGCCCACCCCCAGCTCTGTGGATGGGAAAAACATTGTGAAACGTCACATGACGGTTTTACACTGATGTATACCCTCACTCAGCACCTGCACAGTGCTACAAAGAAATAATATAGAATGCTTGCATCTCCTTTTCCCACAGCATTTATAGGTGCTCCCAAGCAAGATTTTATTTGGCAAATGCTGAGTCATACATAGGATTTTATAAGAGATCCTAATGAAACATCTATGAATAATTCTCCCAAAACCCTTCTGAAACATTTTGAATGAAATAGTTTATTTCAGAATGAGAAATTAAATATTTAAGGCAGGGTAAATTCCAAATTCATCAATGTATTGCATTGCATTGCATTGCATTGCATTGCATTGTTTGTATTCCCAACTCTTTGAGGTAGGCCAAGGCCAAAAACAAAGAAGCAGCATGAATTCCAAAAATACTCTTTACTGCTGTAGGTTAAAGTAACAGAATTTTGAAACTCATGACTAAGATTTTCCATCTTTTAGCTGCTACAAGTAACTAACTCTGACATTTCTGGGAGTAGTATTGAAAAGGAGATGCTTGCCTTCCTAATGCATCCCACACAAAGTTGTCATGAGCTTTATATAAAGAATGAAATATAACGTATTTCCTCATGTACCTAACTACAGCTTTAAGAGAATAGGCTGTGAAGCTGGCATTTCTGGTAAACAACATAAGCTTACCATTTCCACTGTCACTTCCATTAATTTCCAAAACCTGCTAATCAATTTTTGCTTTGTTTTATAAAAATGTCTACTTGACCAAAGGTCATAAAATACAATTTTCCTGGATAGTCATGGACAAATAATTCACTGAGGGCTATCAAGAGCAGGATCAGAATATCATTAAGGACTGGTAATCCAAGAAATGAAAAATATTAGTGAAAAGTACCATTGTTTTTGCCTAATAACTGGCTTTTCCCACAGATTAATTTTAAGTGAAATTAAACATCACTTTTCAATCAAATCTATCACTGTGAGAAAATCAGAAGGAAATTCTGTAAACTATGAGATCCTGCCCTGATGTTAGTGAATGTAAGCCTCAATAAGATTAACAATCTACTCCTATCTGTGTATATGTGTATATTACTCTTTGAATTCAGTAAAAATTACCTATGCTCAAGCAAGATAGGATAATATCAAGTTGTTGAAAGTCACCAAGAAAGGAATCTGTGCAAGAATACATCTAGAACATGCTGAAATATTCTTGAACCAGATTCAAGTCTGAAAAAAACATGGAACCACTGTAAGAAAACAGTTCACAGTTCCTAGTGCTTGGTCCAAAGCACTCCTCCCAGATCATTTTCAAAGTGTGCACTGCCTTATAGTACGTCACTTCAAAATGCTTCTACAGTAAAAAGGATAAATGTATTTTAAATGAATAAAATATTGCAGAACCATTTCAGCTGCAATCACTTAAGTAGTGTTGCAATGTGGGAAAGGAAGGTACTCTACCTCAAATACCATTAATTAAAGGATCAAAGAGGGCAGCTTTCTTACCAGGGGAAAAAAAACCCAGGAATGCACAGAAAAGTGTCCAAAGCCAGCAAAATGGTTGTTTCAATGTGCTATCACTGCAGTGGCAGTATTCACAAGTAGGTTTTGCTTTGTGGAGGAACACTGAAGGAGTTTCATCAAATGCACAAAGTGAAGTGCTTCTTCAAGGCTCTACACAGGCTATTTGTTACTATATTTATCTCTCTGAATACAGCTTTGAATTGATGGGGTTGTTTTCAAAAGCAGTGACAAAATCGTAACAACCATCCTGGATCAAACCAAAGCAGATCTAGCCCCCAGGATTCTGCTTTCTAGAGTGGCTGACTAAATGTTAATAGAAGACCACACAATAGCATCTTTTTGCTCATATGCTTTGGAAATTGTTATCAAGTTATTGTTTCTGAAACTAGTGGCAATATTTAGTCATTAATTTCTAGGTACTGATTGTCTCATTCTCCCTTGATTTGTTCAATAACATACTAAATACAAATTAAAGGCTAGATTTATATTCTGCATTTGTATCTTCCACAAGTCAACCATGCACTGTATAATGAAATACATCTATTTGATTTTAAACTTCCATCATGCTGCTATTTTGCATGATGGTTAAGCCCTAGTATTGTAAGAAGAAAGTGTTGTGTGTATTGTTTGCTTTATATCATGCATGATCTTATAAAGCTCTGACTAAGGAGATATACTCTCGTTGTCAGACCACACTTGAGTTATGCTGAGAAATGCACCGCAACAAATAAATAGTACCAAGTTAAAGTTGATTAGGAGAGAAAAGTTAATTTAGTGTAAATATAAATGGCATATATTAAACACAGTCAATGACTATCATGTTGTGTTTTCAACATTAACAATCATAATTAATTAGGAAATGTTGGTCAAATAATTTTGCATGTTTCTCCCTCAGAAATATTATTTTTGAGATATTTAACAACCTAAATCCATTATTATCATGAGGAGCTTTTAATTGGAGCTATCATTTTTCCCAATTCCGTGTATTCTAACCATAATAATACGGTATGTTTGGGCTTACAATCATATGTAATGCAGCTTAAGTCTCAAGTCTATTCATTTATCTTCCTTAGTAGAGCAGGTTACAGTTATCCAAAGCTAAACTACGAAGTCTTCAATTAAAGCACTTTATGTAGCTGTGCTAGGTAAAATTCCAGAAACTGTTACTACTACTACTGAGCTAATAATAGTTTATCATATAGTATTATATAATAAAATTTATCATATAATGTATTAAATGTACAAATGTACATTAAATGTACAACATGCAGCTCCACTTAGGAATTCTGCTTACAGTAGTGTAAAAAAAAAGGAAGGGATAAAACTTAATTCCTCCCAATATTTACTTCACTAAATATCTCCTCCATACATTTAAAAAAATCTCCATTAATGTCAATGGAGTTAGTTCTGGCATCACCTGAGGAAACAGAAATTGCATTATGCAAATAATTCATATAAAAGGTATAACTTTGCAATTGTGCCTTTTGCATAGATAGCTGTCAGGACTGAGTCTTCACATGCTTAGTTTAACTCCCACATCCAATTCTTAATACAAATATCTGTAAACAACTAATTTATGTATTTTACAGAAATCGCACCTTAAAATGTACTTGTAATAGACCACTTTTTCATTCAAGATTTTACCACATAGCCTTTACATCAGGGATAGAGGATTTCCATACATCAACAAAGACCCCTCCCACTCCTACAAGATTCCTCAACATCATCTCGTCAAATTTTCTTCAAGTCTCATCTGTTCCCTTTGAGAAGCATCAGTTGAGTTAGCTCTATCATCCATGTGTCATTGGTCAATCTTTTTAAGCCATCTATTTTAATGAATGACATGAATTTGATGTGTTATTTATGCACTTTCTTTTGATGCAAGCTTCTTAGCAATCAATTGTATTGATTGGACCTGCCTTCTAGAGGAACAAGAAAAAATGTGTCTATGTTCCCTGTAAACACATTAATATTAGTACAATGTTCTAATGCATCAGCTTCCAATTAGAAGTTGCAGGTCAGAGATTCAATATATGTTTCATATCTAAAGTGATCAAATTCAGCCCTTGACTTTGCCACCAGAGCTAGGAAAACCTCTGCCCAAAATTCTACAAGGCCATCTTCAGGCACCATACTGTTTGATATTCCTCTACAGAACAGTTTCTTATAATCTCAGGAAAAATATTGTTCTAATCAAACAGTATCAGTTTGTAAATCATTTTAGAATGTTATTAGAGTTTTACAAAATTATTTTTGAGACTGTACATGCAGATACAGGATTGTAGTCTAAATGTTAATAACCTGAGGTCTATATAGCACTATGAAATTTACAGTTTAATTTTCAATTACCTTAGTGTATGGAAGTAACATTAGCATAAAAGTGCTAATCACTGCATACAGCATCAATAATTCCTTTAACAGTATCAGAGTCTTTTTTTAAACTGATTTTAACGACAAATATTTTCTGTTATCTCAATTCAGTCACTGGTATACTTAAATAAATTTAAATTCTGTATTTAATAATCCAACATAAAAATTCACCAAATTCATTAAGGTTTGTATAAAATCCTGGCCCAATTTGTCTGGTTCAAATCATTTTTCAAATGTTCTAATGCCCCTATATCTTAATATCTGCTCACAACAAAATATGAATTTCTAGAAATGAAAAAATTTCTTCGATTACTGAAACTCCTTTCTCACTCAGAACTGTCATAATAAAACACTGAGCAGGGTGATCCAGGATCCAATTATGTTCTTACAGTGACCGAATCTCTAGATTATGCCATGA